TAATTGGTGCATTTTCTCGATAAGAAAAGGAAAGATGGGCAAATTTGGGGTTGGGCTTTTTATCTATCCTTGCTCAGTCCTCATTTCGAAAGAATAATGCAAATTTTTAGTATTTTATCTATCAATAGGATTCTACTTCTCTTAAACACATTTACCGGCCTTTTGATTAAAATTAAGTGCAGTATCTGTTCTTACTTATTGGTATCTTAAGAGGTTTTTATATTATTATTTGGTAAATAAAGAATGAGAAACTCTAATGATATTTTTCTCATTAAGAATTATGTATATATACAATATAATGAGATATTGAGCCTGAACTATACATATAAGATGGGTTATATACAATGCTCTATTTATAATATTCTATTAGTAAATAATTATTAATCATTAATTCTAGTTAAATAAATTAAGTGTTTATAAATAAAAAATAATAATTCTAATTAGTCAATTATTAAATATTAATTACATGTGAACAACTAATTCAAATACTTTGTAAATAAGCTATCGAGTTCGATTGGTTAAAACTTCAAAAGTTGAGGCTTCACAATTTGTCAATTGTGGATTCTACTTCCACGGCTGACATGCTTTCTCCAAGTTTTTTGTGCACTTAATTGTTATAATAAATACACTTGAACTTGGCGCTTAAATTTTACATAAAGGAATAAGGTATCTTAGCTATAAATTTCTTCATAGCCCTTAAATTTTATTATTGCAAAATGTGTCTTGTTTTTTAGTCTAAATTATACTGAATTGTAAAATCAAGATCTTTAAACTAGAGGAGAAGGGTTTAATATCAAGGCATTTCCCATTTCAAAAGTCATTATTTTACAATTTAATACAATTCAGATTATAAAATAACGTTTTAATTGTAAAATAACAACTATTAAATAGAGATAATTTTCATGTTTAGAGACCCAATCCAATGATTTAATAAATGCGATCCAGCTCATATAGTCTATTAACACATTTTTGAATTCTATGAACCAAGATTAAAAAATGAAACCAACTTCTGGAAGAACCCCAATTTCTCTGAACCCACACCTTGGAATATAGTAGGGCCATTTGGAAGGTTCATAACTGATGAAATTGCACAGAAACCTCAGACATCCGCCAATGATCAAAACAAAAGGAAACCAATGACTCTGATTTTATTATTAAAAAAAATTATCCTAAAAAATTTCTTCAAAGTCAAGCTGGGCCATTTCAAGAGACTTTGGATATTACAAAGTCAGTAATTCAATATCCAATACAAACACCACTCTCCTCTTAAAAAAAGGAGGCCAAGAAAATGAAAATGGTCGGTTTCATTTTTTCTTTCTTGGTTTTCTGAACCAACCAAAATTTCTACCTCCATTTTCCCCCCTCTCCTCTCCTCAGAAGGTTTATATAAACCCCTTGAAGTAGAGAAAAACTGAAGCCTAAAACACAACCATTTCAATAAACTATGGTTCTCAAAAAATGGGCAACGTGCAGAAATATCTTCCTTAATTGTATCAAACCCAAGAACTCAATCTTAGGGCCAAAAGTTCATACTTCCTCTTCTTCTTACAAGCAAATTACTAGCCAGAGGCTATCACTCTCAGATGTTAGCCACACTGGTTCTCCAATCTCCCTTAGTGACCTATCAAGCTCTCTTGTAGACCTTCATGTCTTCACCCTCAAGGAGCTGAAATTGATAACAAAGAACTTCTCCAAGAGTAATTATCTCGGCGAAGGCGGGTTTGGACCTGTGTACAAGGGGTTCATTGACGATAATCTCAGGCCTGGCTTAAAGGCTCAACCTGTGGCTGTTAAGGCCTTGGACTTGGATGGAACACAGGGGCATATGGAGTGGCTGGTAAGCTTTTCTGTTCCTGGCAAACTCAATGTTTTCATTTTCTTTCATTGCATCTTATCTAATTGATCACTATACAATCGAGAATAACCTTCCCCTTTCTCAAATCCTTTCCTGTCCATTCAAACCTCAGAACATCCCAAGGGACTAATGTCTATATGCATTTTACCCTAAGATTAATGTTTTGCTTAATTTGTATATAGGCTGAACTTATCTTTCTTGGGCAATTAAAGCATCCTAATCTGGTGAACTTGATTGGATACTGCTACGAAGACAAGCACAGGCTTCTGGTTTACGAATACATGCCTGAAGGAAACTTGGAGAATCATCTCTTTGGAAGTAAGTATTATGCAGACACGGGATCGTTACAAATTATCAAAATCCCCAGATATTAACAATATAATTATGTATGTCATGGTTCATACAGGATGTGGTCCGGCGTTGCCTTGGTTAACAAGACTAAAAATTGCAGTTGGAGCTGCAAAAGGCCTGGCTTTTCTCCATGAAGAAGAAAAACCAGTCATATACAGAGATTTAAAGACCTCAAACATCTTGCTTGACCAGGTAAGATTCTCACTTCCTAAACTCAATTCTATGGAAATTAACAAATATAAAAAGGAAACTTTGAGCAAAAACTGTAATTTTCTTTTCAGGATTACAATGCCAAGCTTTCTGACTTTGGATTGGCCACAGATGGACCAGAAGGAGAACAAACACATGTTACCACTCGGGTGATGGGCACAGAAGGCTACGCCGCACCTGAGTACATAAAGACTGGTATTATATCTCTTTACAGTCACTAAACAGAATTATGAGTTATACACGAAATCAATACTGATGCACAAACTAGGACTCGAACCTGAAACCACGCTATGCCAAGTTATATTAGCTGAGAATATGCTTTAATGCATTTTGATGTCCTTGCTGATTTTGTAAGCTTAATGGGATTTTTCAGGTCATTTGACAACTATGAGTGATGTGTTCAGCTTCGGAGTGGTGCTTGTAGAGCTGCTGACAGGACGGAGGTCAGTGGATAAGAAACGTCATGGGAAGGAGAAGGATCTTGTAGAGTGGGCACGGCCTCTTTTGAAAGACCCCCATAAAGTTGAAGGGATACTGGACCCAAGACTTGATGGGCAATTCTCAATGGAGGGAGCCAGGAAGCTGGCTGTGTTGGCTTACTACTGCCTGAGCAGCAACCCCAAGTCCAGACCAACAATGAGCTCCGTGATCAACACCTTGGAGCCTCTGCTGGACCTGAGGGATATACCAATCGGACCCTTTGTGTATATTGTTCCGGATCAGGGTGAAAAAAGATGCGACAATGTTAAAAAGAATGGAAAGGAATTAGATTTAGACCAGGTGACAGAGGAGAAGAAAGTTGAAGAAATAGTGGACAAAAGACAGAAGGTACGGCAACAACACCAGAAAGTTCGCCGGCATAGACGTCGGGGCAAGGCTTTAAGGTCCCGAGCTGTCCATTCGGATACTGATTTGTACAGAACTCTTAAATCCAGTCTGTACTCTTCAAGGCAATAGAAGCTATTATATTATATTTTATTAAAAGTTCCTTTTTTTTTCTTTTTTTTTTTTCTAATTTCTGTTCTTGTTCCTGTTCCTGATTCTAATTTTCTAAAGTTTCCATGGGAATTCCCCGTTAAAGAAGATGATCTTGGCGGTATCAGCAAGATTTATCGGCTGAGAGGAAATTTGGTGAAAATTGCAGAATGTTAATGTCAATGGAAGAATCCTTCCATCCTACAATGATGCATATTGATAGTTGTTTATGTTCAAAAAGACAAACTATTGACTTTTCTGAATCCTTCTGAAAAATCTCATTGACTGCAATTCGATTTCAATTTTGTTAGGCAGTGCAATCCTACCTAATTCCATCCAGATTGTAGGTTGAATTTTCTTTTTCTTGGTTTTAAGGATGTGAATTTACATCCCTTAGTTATAAACAAACATAGATATATGAAGATAAGAAATAGCTCACTTAACAACTGCTAGATATCCAAGAGTTGTAGCTTAATAGGTAAGGGAGTTTGCTCCCCAACTTGTTGATCAAGGTTGGTTTTCGCGAGGAAACCAATAAGGAAGCAATTCTTTATAAACTCCCTAGTCTCGGGGATTGGTCTCAAAGTATGCACAAAATGGCCCAGGATACCTTAACCGTTAAACCCAAAAAAAAAAAAAGAAAAAAAAAGAAGAAAAAACACAACTACTAGATGAAGGTCGAATGATATATATATATATATATATATATTAAAGTGGCATCTCTTAGGTAAAATATAATGGTCAATAGTCCATGATCAGATTAAGTGTTTCATAATGTATTCAAATTCAAAAGCTGAACAACAAATTCTACTGTGCCATACTAAAACATATTTACTTTATGTGTATGGTGACTCTACATTTCCACTCATCCACCAACCCCATCCAAAACCCTATTCAGGTATATTGATTACTTTGAGGGTTTCTGGTTCAAAAACCATAAAGCTCTAATCAGTAAGCAGTGCATTATATCTGACTAGAAGTTTGGTAATGATGGAAAGTAGAATAAGATGGCGCATTCAAGAGATCAAGCCCTATAACTTTTCTTTTGGAATTTGAAACTCCAGAAGACTTTGGAGCATCAGAGTTACCAATCAAAACAAATTAACATTATATCTGGTAGTCAAAAACTGATATTGAAGCTAAGTAGCAGGTAAAGAATTTTTTGTTTATGCTTAAACTTGAAAAACTCTGTTTTACCTTCCACTGTAATAAAAGGATAGAACAATTAAATTACTGGCTGGCAAGATTGATTCCATCATTTTTATAATGTGTTCCTTGAAGTAAAGAGAAGCTGATATTGAAACTTTCCTAAATTGACAACAACTAAAATCTGAATGCATGTTGCATATTATATATATGTAAAGAATGACAATAATATGAGCTTTAGTGCTAATCCAACAGCCTTGAAGAACTGGAGAGTAAAATTGATATAAAGTGGCCGTACCTTAAAGACTTCAATTTGTATAAAAGACGATGAATATCTTTTCAGTTGCAATTATCAACAGTGATGCTTTCTCTTCAACATTACTGGTGCAATGAAAGAAATGCTTCGTGAATTGTACTCCCAATAATCCTCTTCTGTAAGTGCTAGTGTTTTCTCTTCTCCTCTGGGGCAGCATTCAGAATTTGGCTCAAGTCCAATATCTAGGCATTTTTTTTGAGAGGTCATAGTATCAAATCTGTGTCACAAGCCTTCGCCTGTTACCGAAAGTTTGCATCAACTATGCATTTCATCCAATTGTACTTATCCCAAAAAAAAAACAAAGTGAAATATGCCAGAATTCGACCTACTGACTGTCTATGCCATACTAGAGGAGTGTGCCATTGCTTCTTTCATTCCGTTTTCAAGATATCTTCAGGTAAAATTCTGGAACCAGACTCATAATGTGAAGTGCACCAGCTTGTCTTTACTTTATCCATTTTTGTTTTTTTTTTTTCTCCTTGGTCTCTTTGTCTGAGTTGTTCCTTTAAAATTATCATCATTGTGATCTGACATCCAGTTAGCATGACATTTGTCATCATATGGAAGTATGGAACAACCTGTCCATTGATCAATGGTTCTCCTGCATGAAACCCTTTTCATATTTGCATAACAGAGATGTAATTTGTTCTAGGAAATTGTTCTTAACTACAGAAAGAACACAGATAGTGCTGATGGTGTGATGGTTTTGAAAACAGGTGATGTGCTGCCACTCTTCTCTATCCTCAGGACAAAATTAAAATGGATGTTTATGCACAATTTTGACAAGGCAGGAGAAATAGTATATGTACGATGCCTAAGCATTTTGCCTTCCAAAGAATATGGAAAGAGAGTTATTTTGCATAGGCATTTGAATGAGTTATTTTTTTCCCTGGGATTTTCCAATCAAGACTTCAAAGAAAAAAATGCTGGCGTTTTCATTCTCGGAGTTATCATCAAAATAGAATACCTTAATTAACTTCCTAATTGATGGAAAAAGAGTGAAAAACATGAGGGGGCAGTTTCAATACTGAAGTAAAAATACATGCCTAAACTCCCACCAAAAAAAAAAAAAAAATTCATGCCTAGACATCTAGTGTTCAGGGCAAATGATCAACTGGGTATCATATTCATTAAATTATATCCTCTCTTATGCCTTACCATTTATGGGAGAATTCATTTTAAAAGAAACCAACTAGGAAGACTTAGGTATTTCAATTTGCAATTTTGCAAGCATCAACCATAGGCAGAACCAGGACACTAGTGCCTTGAACTATTGCATAATGCATAGAAATCTTCACAACGCAACTTTGATGTTGTGATAAACTTTTAATGCATAAGGAGAAGCAAGAAATAGATACAAATAAAGTAATTGTACCTCCATATCCATTGTCACCATGGGACAAATAAGAATCCGGTAAAACACATTTCTCATTGAGCAGTGCTGCAACCAAAAGAGGCAAATCTTAGAGCAATAAAGGGAAAACAAAATTGATTTGAAAGATGAAGAATCATAAAGAAGGTTACATTTGATCTTGCAGGTAAAACTCTATGGAACTTTGCAACCAAATGCATAGTTGTACTTAGTGGAAACAGATTATATTGATCTCTTGGCTTCCTCCTCACTGCATTGTCCAAAATGAATAACAAAAATAAGTATAAAAAGGCACAATGTAAATTTGCTTTACAATTCAAATAAACTCGTTGACAAATACAGTAAACAAGTTAACTCATTCCATGAAGCTGACTCACCCAAGTCGATGAGAACCCCCAACCCCACTTTTCTGGGTAAAAAGACCAAACTTTACCTCTCCAAAACCATGGATAGGTTCTGGTGGGAATCCTAAGGAGCCTCCATAACCACGAGCTAGTGCTCAAAGTCACATCACTCGAGCAATGTTGCACCAGAATCATCTCGGAACACTGACTCGCCGCCGGGCCGTTGGACTCTGAGTCGCCAGAGTAGAGTCTGGACTGCAAGCTACAGGGAAAAACTGATGGACGGTGATGGCGGCCGCCACAGTCAATGATTGCTTGATAAGTGATACTGATAAACCCCGGAATCATTCGCCCTTCAATTTTGGTTTTTTATTCTTTCAGGGCGACCCTGCCCCGTATAGTCCCTGAAACTTCACGACCTGGATTGGGTGAAGACGTTTGTGGAAAATTTTTGTACGGTAATGCCATCGTCTTTTTTTTTTTTTGTTTGGACCACCGCCGACATCACCGAATAATTCAGACACCCACTCATAGGTAATGACATCATCTACGTTGCACCTGTATTTTGAAATTTTTTCACCCCAATGGCTAATTATTGTATGATTAAAAGATTTTATTAATCAATATTTATATTTATTAATAGTTAATTATTACTTTTTATTGTTATTGATTACCTATTAAATTTTAATTGTTGTATTAAACATATTGAAAATTAGTACGAGACAAAAAAAAAAAAAAAGAAGTTTAAGGGTTATAATTTCTTTTTTTTTTTTTTTTTTTTTTTTCCAGTTAGTCACCAAACAGAGGGAAAATGAGAAAGAAAAATAGATAGATTTTAGATAGGTTCATTATCATAAAATAGACACATTACACACCAAGCAAATTCTACAAGAACACATCAACTAAAAGCATACTGCATTTAGACAGCTTATTAGAGATAGGCTAAATCAACATTACAATCACAGATCGCACAGATGAAGTGGAAGTCGAGGCTCAACCACAGCTTGGAGTGGAACTTTCTTAGGGGCTGAGAGTCCAAATATTTCCTCCATATTCAGATCATCTTTTGTTATGGTAGAAGGCAATTTCCATGTGAATCCATGAAGAAGGTTTGCCAGATTTAAATGAATGAGCTTAATCCCCAAGGCATATCCGGGGCACATCCTCCTTCCAGATCCGAACGGTAGTAACTCAAAGTCGTGGTCCTTCACATCAATGGCTTTCCCAATAAACCTCTCAGGGCAAAACTCATTTGGTTTATCCCACACAGAAGGGTCTCTTCCTATGGTCCATACACTCACAAGTATTCTGGTACCTTTGGGAATGTCATAGCCAGCAATTTGACAATCCTCCCGAGAAAGGCGAGGCACCAACAGTGGTGCCACAGGGTGCAAACGCATCGTACTTTGCAATTGATGAATCAATATAGGGTAGGTTGATGATATCCTTTTCTTCTGCCCATCTGTCTTTTCCACTCACCCTATCTAGCTCCTCAATGGCCTTTTCAAAAAGTTCTGGCTTTTTCAAGAGCTCAGAGATTGCCCATTCTACAGTCACCGTCGAGCTCTCAGTTCCACCAGCTATCAGATCATACAATGCAATGGATCCAGAAAGATATACCACTAACACTCTTGCTCATCTAATTAATGAAGGTGGATTACTACTCCTTGAAGGTTAACAAAAAGAAAGAACACAATGTTTTCTGGATACAATTACTCCAAATCAATAATGGCTACACAGACATTGACCCAGTATTGCTGCCTGTCTAAGCTAGATTGCAAATTGACATACCTAAAGTAGCTTCAAATTACAAGCCACCACTCAAAGAGGGAAAAAAAAAAGGGCATTCCCAACTAGAGGTGCAGAAAATTAGTAAGTCAAAATTATTAAAACAAGATATTAAAGACATAATATAACTCTTAGTCATTATGTAATTGAAATTAATTAAACATCTTAATATTTTTAATTTCAAAATATCTTTTACGTATTAACAATAATATTATATGAAATTGATTACACCTCTACTTTTATACTTGACATTTTAGTATGGTAAAAAATAATGCTTTACAATTGGATTGGAGTTCGATTTCCCTCACCATTATTAATAATTTTGTTTGTTAAAAAAATAGATAAAATATATTAAGAGAAAAGTTATTGTACCTAGGTAAAAGCCTTGACTCCATGTCTTTCGAGCTTGATCTCAAGGTTAATTAGGATCATCAACAAGCTCCAAAAGCACATCCACCATGTCCTTAGCAACGTAACCCTCCACCCCTTTTCTCCTAGCATTATGCTCATCCAACACATGCTCCAAAAACCTATCCAGCTTCTTGCTCAAAGCCTTCATTCTCTTAATATGCCCTTGCAAATCCAAGAATCCAAGCCACGGAATAAAATCTCCAATATCCAAGACCCCATTAAGCAGAAATAATTCATCAAGCATCCCCTTCAACTCCTGCGGGGTGACAACCTCATTGTTTTCTGTCTCATCGTATACTTCTTTTCGAAGACCATCCGACTGATGACATTTAGGCTTAAGTTTGCTAGAGGTCCTTTAAGTATAATAGGTTTGCCTGATGATTTATATAATAGTTTCAGCATCAAATTCATTTCTTCTCTCCTAATATACTCATATGATTCAAGGTGTTGAGGCTGAAAAGTTCCATAAGGCACACGCGACGTGCTTGACGCCAGTAAGGACCGTAGGGTGACCATGTAATGTCCGAATAATTGTAGGTGGTATATTTGCCAGCCAGC